AGAGAGAACAATTGGGCACTTGCAAGTAATTATGTCAAATAACTGGTCCAGTTGCTTGGCAAAGCTGTCCTTAACTGCAAGTTTTCCTCTCCCAAGAGAGATATCTCTTGCCTTTTCCCAACTGGCTAGCAGTCTCTCACTAATCTTCTTCTGACTTGTTATGACTGGAGGCTTGAACTGAGCGTTAGCCAGAGTGTACTGTGCCAAGACAGCTTTGGTCATATCACTGGCAATGTCTTTGTTTGTGTAAGTTCTTTGGTTCTTTTCACTGATTTGCCTGATTAAAACACCGTATCTCAAAGCATCTCTCAATGTAGGCAACTCCGACTTCAGGAGCTCTCTCCCAGACCCAAGATAGTGACTGAGATGGCTGGATTTTTGGTTCCTCGTCCTGGCACAAGCAGCCATCGCAAATATTATCAACTTATAAATGCATCAGAATCTGAAACAGAAAAAAATATTATTAGTTGGGTTGTTAAAGAATGAAGTCAGAAAGCAATGTTCACTATTTAATTGTAATGCACTAATGCAGCTGTACGTTAGATTTTCGATAAATTTCACGCTAAAATTTACCTAGCAAAAGGTTGCAAAATATTGAAACTTAAATTATTTTCTGTTTATATACACTAAACTCTACCAAAAAAGTGATGGGCCATTAGTTTTAGCTGATCTTCCCTCCTATGACACACCCTATTGCCATATGGCAGCCTCGGGGCAATGTTGCCACATAACGTGCAGTGTTGCCACGTGATGATATATATAAATGCTACTTGGCACAGTAGCTTATGTACAGGGTTGCTACTCGGCACAGTAGCTTATATACAGGGTTGCTACTCGGCACAGTAGCTTATATACATAACCTACAAGTGATGTTGAAAGCTTCAAGTGTCTGGAGTACTGTCACCCCGTCTGGTCCCGGAGATATGCTAAGGACTGTCAGTTGGTTGAAAATGTTCAAACGAGGGCCACCAGACTGGTGCCTGCATTCGGCACCTCAACTACCCTGAGAGATTGGAGAGCCTGAACTTACCTAGCTTATACTACAGATGGGCAAGGGGCGACCTAATTGAGGTGTATAAGCATTTCCTTACTTGGAGCTGGCGGACGCTCTCCCCACAAGGGATCACAGTTCAAGATTGAAGAAGCCTCAGGTCCATAAAACTATCAGGGCAAACTTTTTCGGAGTGAGAGTTGTGAACTCTTGGAACAATCTACCAGAAAGTGTTGTGACAGCACCGAGTGTGAGCTATTTCAAGACCAGACTTGACCAACACTGGAGCAGGTTTAGGTACATTCAGGAGCAGGTGCATGCCCAGTACTTGCCAACAATGCATAACAGAGACGTGACCTATCGCCCAAGTGGCTATCGAGCCGACCAATTGGTGAAGAGGATAAAAGAAAGAGAAAAGTAACAGAGACGTGACTGATCGCCCAAGTGGCTATCGAGCCGACCAATTGGTGAAGAGGACAAAAGAAAGAGAAAAGTAACAGAGACGTGACTGATCGCCCAAGCGGCTAACGAGCCGATCAATGGTGAAGAGGGTAAAAGAAAAAAGTAAATATAACCAAGATTAGTGAATCGGACAAGACTGAGTCGACTGGCCACAGGGGTTGTTTAATACACAAACAGCCGAAGCTCGTTCGCTAGTAGCGCCCGGGGTAGACTCGGTGCACTGTCTTAGTATAAGAGCTATTCTTTTCTCTTTTATTTATACCATGGTAGTTATTTTTTAAACTCTTCAGCCCGGTTTTCTCTTAATTTCTTGCTTCATTTATTTTCTCCATTAGTTGTGTCTAGTTATTTCATTTCATATAGGTACTTCATAACCTCTGACCTTTGGTAGCGTGGCTTGAGGGTTATGACACATGGGTACATTGTAATTCTGGTATCAAGCAATAGGAAGGAATGACGGTAAAATACTGCAAGTAAATGATACTCCTAACATACAAATAAAATGTTTTATTAAAATGAATAATTTCAGTAACATTCAACTACATGGGTCAACTCCCTAGCTTTACTTATTTTGCACTGTTAAACTTAGGTACATTCTCCACTTACACCATGACTGGGTGTACATGTACAAGAACACACAATATTCTTACATAGCACCTTTGAGCACCATTAGTACAAGTGGTAATGAGGCCAGTTACAGCACTAACACTAATACTTTAACATCACCAGAATTAGTAGCTTCTCTTCACCACTGTGGTACCTTTGCCAACAAGCAAAGTGATGGTCAACCTACTCTTGCTAACTCCAAACACTCAGATAATTCAGGTGAATACATACAGGTGTACTCGGAGGAATAACACAGCCACCATATAGCCCTACTGAGTAGTGAACTCATCCATAACAATGATGGGGGCTGGCAGTGTTTGCTCAGCCTGTGATATCATCAGGCTGGACGGCAAATGTGCCAGGTGAACGGCTGGCCAGTTGACTGGGGCCCCAGAGGAGGTGGTTAGTTCCTGACTCTCGTGTTCACGCATTTACCCGAGTTTACTGGCCTTCATCCATCTCTCAAACTAGTGTGGAGGTCGTCCCAATCTACAGGCACCGAGTGTGAGCTCTTTCAAGACAAGACTTTGTCATGATCATAATGACGGCTAGCCTGAAAACCCTAAGGATTCATATTACGCTTAAACGTCCACAAAACCTTCTGGATCCCCCAGTGGAAACGTCCTCCGTTTTCTCTGTTTCTTTGATGACGTCATCAAGATGTCGTCTTTGTCTGAAAGGACCCTTTTGAATCTGCTCCTCGGGGTTGTAGCAAGGCGCTGTATGTTGGGTCCTGTTGTCATCCAACCTTTTGTAATCAATTTAATTCTTGCTTTTGATAGCTCAGTCAGAGCATTGTTTGTGAAGATAATAGTAGGGAATGAAACTGAGTTCGTAGTCTGAGTTTCAAACGTCAGAGTATACAGTAAAGTAATTCAGCGAAATAGTTAAGTAGGTGGAATCCACGACCTAGTTTGAGTGAGAGTACGGCGGGCATTTCAACGGTTAGTAAGTGCCTCGTCCCTCACCCACACAGGTAGGTCATTCTACTCCTTGTTGTAATTCGCCATTCTCTAAGTGATTTGACCTAATTAATAGTTGATTGTGCAAATGTTACAGTAACGTAGTTGATGTGCTTTGAGTGAAATAATGTTTACGTCCTTAACGTCCCTTTGAAACGTGATGTCGTTATCACCGTGAGTAAGTGCCTCGTCCCTCACCCACACAGGTCTCTAACGCAGCCCAGGCCGTGTCTGTAGCGTGGATGTTGCATCCACTAGTCTGGAGAGATGTCTGAGGTCCAGTAGGATCAGTTGTCTCCGTGAGTCCCGACCATCAGAGATCCAGTACTACCTATGGGCCCCATAGCTGGCCAATCTGACCCTAACGCTCGGCCCACGAGGTGACCCTGATCACCAAGCCACAAACAATTACCAGCCCCATAATTGGTGGATGAGTGCCTAGCTCAGTAGGGCTAATTGTGTGGTTGTGTTATTCCACTGGGATCTTCAGAGTTCGTTGGAAGGTGCCCCATGATGGTGGGACCCCATGGCGGTCACTTGAGTATCATTCCTGGCGATTGAGTGCTGTATTGGCAGTTACCCCTGGTTTTAACGGTGATAAGTTGCTGTAAGAGTTTGTATGTTATTGTGTATGTCCACCCAGTCGTGGTGTGAGTAATTTGAGCCTGAGGGCATGGTACCAGGAGTTCGTCTTTTGGTACATATAACTTTCTCCTGCATTCATTTTAATGTCTGAATAAATATTGTATTTGTATATTGTGTCTATTATTTACCTTCAGTATCCACCGTTATTTCTTCCCTATTGCTTGATATTATAATTACATATACCCATGGGCCTACCTCTCACGTCGCGCTACCAAAGGTTGAAGTATTAAAGTAAAAATTGTTATAAGAGGCGCAGGCCCTTATAACTTGACCAACAGTGGAGCGGATTCAGGTACATTCAGGAGCCGGTGCATGCCCAGTATTTGCCAACAGTGCGTGACAGAGACGTGACTGATCGCCCGGGTGGCTAGCGAGCCAATCTTTTGGTGAAGAAGATAAATGAAAAGGAAAAGTAATCAGAGATGTGACCGATCGCCCAAGCGGCTAACGAGCCGATCAGTGGCGAAGAGGATAAGAGTAAAAGAGAGGAACCTGTGGGTGGAGGAGTTTCAGAAGCTGGACTGTTTGTTGACATGAACGTCAACGTTTCAAAAGGATGCTAAGGGCGTAAGAATACTTTACTTAAAACACATCAGTTACGTTACTGTATTACTTTTATATTCAAACTATTAACCAAGTCAAAATCACTTAATGTGGAAAGGTATAACACGGAGCTGGACATTACCTGTGGGTAGAGGAGTTTCAGATGCTGGACTGACGCCCGGGAGCGTCAGTGCTCCGCACTCTTCCCTCGCTCAGCTTCGAATTCCACTCACCCCAACTATTTAAATGTACTACGTTACTATACACTTTGACATTTGAAACTAAGACTACGAACTCATTTCCATTTCCTAAGATTCCCTTTTCAATATATTTTTTGACTGAGCTGTCGAAGACAAGAATTAAATTGATTTCAAGGTTCAGGATGGCAGTCCCTGGTGGGCGGAGCCTAAGATGAGTAGTATCCGATTACACCATTAGATTCTCAAAGATACCTGGTCTGACAGTTCCCTTCAGGTTAATTTATTGCTTTCGTAATTAACATCCTTACGACAATTTCACCATGAACATCAGATTCGCTGATGCTCATATGTGAAAAAGAGGTGACTTCAGCCTCTGTCAACAATCACTGGTATCTCTAGGGCCGACGTCAATGATACCTCACTCTCACTGCCGACTCTACCCTGACTTATAGTGGCAATTACGCTAACAGTAAATATAATTGAAGCTTTCAACATCACTCACAACGGATCTCGAATGCTTCATCTGCAATCACAAATCTCTAAGTTGACGCAAAGCAAGGGTGTTCTCTTACCAATTCAAATGTGTGGAATTTAATTATACTTGAGTTTCTCCGATAATGTGACATAGAAAATGGAAGACACAGATCTCCTGAAGTGGTTAGAGAACGAATGTTTCAACTGGGAGACTCAAAAGGTTTACAGGTTTTGTGGGCGTGGAGCGTAATATGAATTATTAGGTTTTAACAGACTAGCCATGTCATTATGACCATGACATTAGCACAGTGTTCCCTGGGTGCTCCTCTCCTCAGATTCTAATCTCGCCATATTAAAGACATCCTTCAATGACCATCTTGCCCATAGCGTCGGATATGTCAAAAATAACTCAATCACAAACAATCTTCGTCTGGCAACGACAGACGATATTTATGTTACATTAATTCTTTCACTGGGTAAATGATAATTTCGCTTTTACAACATGAATACTGATATTCACAAAATTCACTGAGTTAAACAGACTTAATATGGTGGACGTGAGAACATACACATACCTGAGATATGATGGAACAGCGTCAGAGATGTGACGCTGCTCCTTGTACACGAGTTTAGATATGGCTAACTGCCAACTCAGGCCTGTGCGCTACACATGCCAGAAAAGCTAATCATGCAATGACAGAAATTACATTCAACTCAGTCGCTGTACATTTAACTATGAAAATCAATGCCACAAACAAACCGGGATACATTAGATTTGGGAGATTATACAGTTTGACAGAATCTTTCAGGAGATTAATGACTTTCTTAAATAGGCAACTGCCACTAACTAAACTACAAACATCAGATTCTCTGATGTTTGGGCATCAAAATGATCTAATTTCAGTAGTACTTATAAACTCATGGCTATCCCCAAGGAATATATAAGGACATGCTATACTGCCAGATTCTGGGGTAACTAATTCTAAAGGGGATAACTTAACTATAGTCTTAATTTTATAGGTTGCTGCCACCAGACCCCCTCTGGGCACTATGTAGCTCGTTAGGTAACGGGCAGAGTGAACTAGGCATTGGGCTCGGTTTTTCATTGACCAAATCGATAAGGGGAAGAAGGGTGAAACAATAACATGTCTTAACTAATTTATTCATTTAAAAACATATTGCATTCCGTCAAAATACCAGAAGAGTTGGCCTTCCTCAGAAGAACAACTATGATTTTAGTTACACTGCTCAACAACAGATGTCTTACATTAATTGCGTGTCATTATCATACTCATTCCTCATAACACTCATTGACCTCCTTACCTCGGTCATCCCTTCTTACAATAACACTCAACACATCAGACTGCTCCACTTGTATGGAATATAGCACCTTAGGTTATCATACATAGTAGCACCAGCTCACCTCCCTCTACCACCATCTCAACACACCTGTTACACTCCACACCTGCAAGTATGGGACTCCATGTAATTTCTAGGTACACATACCAGGTGTGACGGGCCGAGTTCTTCTCATTTCATTTTACCATCCAGATATTCTTTTCTGTTAGTATTCTTCAATTCTTTATTTATAAATATACTTTATATTCTTATTTAGTATTCCTATATAAGTAATTCTTGACTTAGTTATGTATGTGTTTTATATTAGACTTTCGTGGTGTGTTTATTTAATAATTTCTATGCTGTGGTTTTAGTTCCACCATGTACATACATGTCTTATCTTTCTCTTCTTGTACTTTCCAAGTCTTTCATTTCTTTCACATATATTATATTCTCAGTTTCAATGTTCTTTCCTTTCTGAAGTATACTCTGTTTTACGTTTATTCTTATACATGGGTTAGTCTGGGGAACCATTTTATTCTTAGTACAACACCTTTTATACTTACAAAGGGTAGCTGCCACCACCCAGACTTTTCATTATATAACATAACTCATGGAAAGTTTGTGGGTAGTGTGGTAGATGTATAGGCACGTGAGTAAGTATTATTTTCTGGGAACCAATGTTTAGAAGGTGTAGAGTGGCGATACTCGTAGATTACTAGTTCAATATTTATTAACACAGTGAGTGGACAAGATGCATCTTAGATTCACTCAGACAAAACAGAATCGCAATTAACTTATTGAGACATCAAACACTTCAAGAACCTATTACCTCATTAAACACCTCCAAATACTTATTGCTTCATGAGACAATTGTGGTATTGTTACCTTGACAATGAGATTCAGTAATTATTATTCACAAGATATCACTGGACCCTCAGGTCTTACTTTAACAAGTAACAATTTACCGCTTCAATTCTTGGTTATAACATTACACTTTCAGGTTATTCTTTCCTGGTCCCTACAGACGAATACATAACACACTGGACAACTCCACACTTATAGTAACATACAATACCTCTTGTTAGTTCACAAGGAACAACCTGGTACCTTGAACTCTCATGCAGTGGTTCAATACTTAACCAGGGATACTATATTTCTGCTAGTTATCCCTCCAAACATGGGCCGATACCGCTCCATGCAAACAGATGAAGTACAATCACCAGGTGGAGTCAGCGGACAGATTTGTTTACAGCGGCCGCTAAGCTGAAGGCTCGCTCGCTAGGTGCATCCAGGGAGGTTGACTCGTGACAAACTGGCAGAGTGTTGAGGGCGCTTCCCGGGGGAATCGTGTCCTGGGATTCTAATCGCGCCCCCTTAGAGACATCCTTCAAGAATCATCTTGCCCATAGGTAGCTACCGAACCTCAGGAGGGTTGCTAACACACCCGCGTCTGGAGACGTGGAGGAGAAATCACAGAGGGAGTGATTTTTCCTCGCGAGCCGGCATATATACGGGCCTGAGGGCATATTCCTACTAGAAAGACTAATTTTACTCACAATAGGCCCTCTATTCAAAGTAGTCGTTGGACACCTAGCTATGACCGTCAGTGTCACAGATCAGGCTAATTTTCTACATCTTTATTTATGATTTAATCAGAGATTGAGTTTGTCAGTAAAGGGGTGAAATGGAGTTATATATGCGTTGGCAACTCTATTAGCCTGACCGCAAACCACATCCCAGGTCAAACGGCCGTTAAGTCTTGGAGAATTTTGAGTTTGACAGGAACTGTTCAGGAGATTAATGACTTTCTTAAATAAGCAACTGACACTAACTAAACTATAAACATCAGATTCTCTGATGTCGGGGCGACAAAATAATATAGCTTCAGTAGCGATCAGAGACTCATGGGTATCCCCACGGACGACATAAAATACGCCACTCTAGCTGGCAAACTCGACACTCACTTATTTGACACGTCTTACTAGCACTAAGGACAATTGAAGCGCTCAACACCACTCACAATGGATCTTGACTGTTCCAACTGTAAACAGACATATCTAAGTAGACTCAAAACAAGGGTGTTCTCTCTCACATTCAAATTCATTTTATAGAGAGGTTGGTTTCAGTAAGTCAGAGAAAATGGGATAACGGAGGACTGAGGTCTCTTGAAGTGATGAGAAAACGGACTCCTCAGATGGAGGACTCAAAATAAAAGCAGAGGTACATGTTTTGTGGGCTATTGAGCGTAATATGAATCATTTGATTTTGGCGTTAGCTGACGTGTATGACCATGGTCGTTACACAGGCACCTCGTTCGCACACCGCCCTCGGTGGGTAGAGACAAGGGCTTCACCAAGAGACATACCAGTACTGTTTCTACGCCTGGTATTATAGGCTGCTCCAAGTGACGACTGTGGGGTTTCTCAAGCCTTCCATTATGTATTCCTACTCATTTGTGGTGGTATGCCGGGAATCCATAGGTTCACAGTGGAGTAGTATAGCTATGAGTAGTCATCTCACATGGTGGGGCCAACACGAGGTAATGGCCGCCGTTCTGGTGATTTCAAAAACCCGGGAACCTGCGTTGATGAGAGAGTAGGTGCCACTGAGGCTCGAGGTCCAGTGCCTCTTACCAACGTAGGCCTACAGTTTCCAATCTTTAATTTTTACTTTGATTTTTTATGGTTCTCACATGAACACTTTCCCGTTCATTGTGGCCTGGTGTCTTATAAATACATATTTTAATCCTCACTTACATACTAGAATACGGTCCGAGTTTGACAGTTCCTGGGAAATTAATTGGGCTATATCATTATCAACAACTCACACCTGTAGGCCGGGCACAAAGGACGCTACCCTGAAACAAAAGCCGAATGTTCATAGCGTGGGTATATCCACTTCACATAAAACTGTAATTAGGGATCCTCCTCTCACACATGGCAATACTTGAACACAGACATAAGATTCTTTGATCACTGTACATGTCATGGGTATCCGTCACACGAGAATACGAGGTATATTAAGTTCACACCGATGCATGCAAGATATTTCCTTTCAAGTATAGTTTCTGGGTCACTTCCAACACCTCACAAAGCTCTGATACATTTATCATTTTTCCAGATCATTGTTCTCATGTATTTTCATATGATATCTGCGGAAGATGTGTTCGCTAAACGTTCACAGACGTAAATAGTGTGACCTTCAAACCACGTTCTACACTTAGTCCTAAAGTACACTAGTCTGGATCATCCGGACTTTCCTAATCATCTTATAGATACCTTGAGTTCTCCTTAATGCTATGAGTACATACAATTAATATTATATACCCGTAGTTGGGTACAATTCATCAAATAATTCCCTAACATTCATTAGGTGAGTCATTCTTTCTCAATGTTTCCCGTTTTCTGAGATTCTACAAGCGCAGTGGATTTGAATGTTATGTAGCGTAATATGAATTAAAAGGGTTTTTTTAGGAATGACTATGATGTGCGCAGTACAATGCCGCTCGTACTGGCAGAATTGACACTCACTTACTTGATAAGTTTCACTAACAATAAAGACAGTTGAAGCTTTCATCATCACTCACAAGGGGTCTTGAGTGTTCCATCTGTAATCAAACATATCTACAGTAAGTTGCCTGAACAGATACGACTACAGTTGCAATTTCAAATTTTGTGTCGTTATACTGTAGCGTACTGTCGTGGCAGGTTGTCAGGGTCTCTTATTTGGCCTCACAACGTACGTACATGAAATATATCCAACACTCAGGATTGAGGTAGAAATAGAAAATCACAGTGTTTCTTGTATATATATATATTTTTGCACAGCACAGTGTTAAAGAGATACTAAGTTGGGCGAAGCTTGCTCAGAGTTCCTGTAGGGCGAGGAGCTTTCTGAGGGAGCGTGTGTATGGAGCTATTGAGGGATGTTGCTTGTTGGCGGCGGTAAGTAGAAAGAGAGTGATGAAGGCCAGGTGAGGTCTTATATGACCGCGGTGGCTTGATGGAAGGCCCCCGCTTTGTTCGGCGTCGCTGGTTACCTGACATTGACCACGAGGGATACGCCGGCAGATTCGCTGGGGGTCGGCCAGTCAGCAACACAAGGCGTTTGCAGGGGAGGCCTCCACTACAATACTCCCCCTCCCCTCCGGGCGCGACGGGCAGGTGTACGTACCACTCGGCCGCTGCGGGTTACAGCTCCGTCTAATGACACAGCCCCTGTGGGGGAATCAGGGGGAGAAAGAAGGTTTTGGGTTAGAGGAGGTTGTACAGGCAATTGTTGTTGTGCTTCTCTAGCGGCTGGGGCAGCTTCCTCAGGGCCACTGGCTGGGTTGACTGGGTCAGGGGCGACGTCAGGAGTAGGGTCCATGACCGGAGCAGGTTCTATAACAGGAGCAGGTTCTATTACGGCAGCAGGGTTCACGACAGGAGGAGGGTCTATGATAGGAGCAGGTTCTACCACGGCAGCAGGGTCCAGGACAGGAGCAGGGGGCACCTGAGGGTGCAAAGAGGGTGCCCAAAAATGTCTTGGGCGGGGTGTTGCTGCCGGTGGCAACTGCGGGTAGACTGGTGCAGGCGTCGTTTGTTGGTGGTGCTGCTGGGTAGGGGGCTCAACGGGTAAAGTGGCCGGCTTGACTCTGTCTATGCTGACGGTATAGTGTCTGCCATTCTGGACAATCGTCAGGATCTTCGCTGAACGGGTCACAACCTGGAAGGGTCCATCGTAGGGGCGTTGTAGTGGGTTGCAGTGAGCATCATGCCTGACGAAAACATATTCGGCTGTGAGTAGTGCAGGAGGGATGTGTTCAGGGCGCCGTGGAGGCTGGCGTGGAGCAGTAGCTCTGAATGCAGAAACTGCTTGTCGTAGCTTCTGGAGTAAGTCGTGACGGACGGCAGGAGTGGTTTGGTGCAGGTCAGGAGGCAGTGAGAAATCCCCGGGTAGGCGAAGGGGCTCGCCTAGGGTGAGATCTGCTGGGCTACAGTCCATATCCTCCTTGTAGGAAGCACGGATGCCGAGGAGCACTAAGGGTAGCGCTTCCGTCCAGCTGTAAGGGTCGTGCTGTGCTTTAAGTGCGTCCTTCAGCTGGCGGTGAAACCGCTCTACCATGCCGTTGGATTGAGGGTGGTATGCGGTGGTGCGTTGCCTAGTCTTGCCGAGGAACTGTAGGAGGCTGTGCCAGAGTTGTGACTCAAACTGGGCATGACAGTAGTGGGGGGGCCGAAGCGGGAAACCCAGCCGGACATGAAGGCGCGGATGGTAGACTCTGCTGTAGCATTGGGCATGGGGATGGCTTCTGTCCACCTGGTGAAACGGTCGATGCAGGTGAAGATGTAGGTGCTACCACAGGATGATGGAAGAGGTCCCACTATGTCGAGGTGCACAACTTGGAAACGTCCTTTGGGTATAGGGAAGGTTTCTAAAGGGGCCCGTGTGTGACGATGTATTTTGGAGGACTGACAGGCCAGGCACTGGGCAGCCCATTTCTTAGTAACGGTCTTGATGCCGGGCCAGACGACACGTTACGTGAGGAGGCGCTGGGAGGCCCGCACACCCGGGTGGCTGAGACCATGGATGCGGTCGAAAACAGCGCGGCGGTGGATGTGACGCACGAACAGTCTAGGCTGCCCACAGGATACGTCGCATAACAATTTGATATTCGTGCCAGGGATTGGGAGTTCTTGGAGTGTGAGGCCTGACGGAGATGTCTTGTATGCTGCCAGGTCTTCTTCATTCCTTGAGCCGCGGCAAGTTGCCCATAATCAATGGGTGGAGATGAGGGGAGAATGTTGGATATACAACGAGAGAGGGCGTCGGCGATCTCGTTGTGGCTGCCTTTAATGTGTTGGACGTCGCTGGAGAACTCCGAGATATACGCCAAGTGGCGCAGAACGCGAGGTGTATGTGACTGGAAGGTTGAAGTAAAGGCGTGGACGAGGGGCTTGTGATCAGTGAAGATGGTGAACTGACGGGCCTCGAGGAAGTGCTGGAAATGCTTGACAGCCAGGTATACGGCCAGGAGTTCTCGATCGAAGGCGCTGTATTTCAGGTGAGGTGGTTGAAGCCGTTGTGAGAAGAATGCAACGGGCATGAGGACTCCGTTGATCTCCTGCTGTAAGACGGCGCCCACTGCAGTAGAAGAAGCGTCTGTTGTGAGAGTGGTCCAGGCGTTAGGTGCAGGGTGGGCTAGGGGGGTAAGGCGTGTGATGTGCTGTTTGATAGCAGTGAATGCCGTAACAGCCTCTTGTGAGACTTCTTTGGGAGTCCTTTGAGAAGGTCGTAGAGGGGAACTAGGACAGTGGCAGCGTTGGCAATGAAGCGGTGGTAGTAGTTAACTAAACCCAGGAATTCTCGGAGTTTTTCGCCGTTTCAGGTTTGGGGAACTCCCTGATGGCGGTTATCTTCTGTGGTAGGGGTTGGATGCCACTAGGCGAGACTCTGTGACCGAGGAAATCAATGGATGGGGCTCTGAAGATGCACTTAGCAGGGTGAACTTTCATGTTGTTGTTCTGCAGGCGTTGGAGGAGGAATTGTAGGTGGTGATGATGCTCGGCAGGCGTCGAAGATGCGACGAGGATGTCGTCTATGTAGACTGTGACAAAATCGAGGTCGCAAAGCATATGGTCCATGTACCTCTGGAAAGTCTGTGCTGCGCTGCATAGGCCAAAACTCATGAAAGTATACTCGAAGAGTCCGAATGGAGTGGTGATGGCTGTCTTCTGGGTATCTGCAGGTGCTACAGGGATCTGGTGGAAGGCACGCTCCAAGTCGATCTTCGAGAAGATTGTCTTGCCATGAAGTTTGTGGTGGAAGTCCTGGACATGCGGAATAGGGTACCTGTCAGGTTTGGTGACGAGGTTCAGGGATCTGTAGTCGCCACACACCCTCCAGTCGCCGGATGATGGCTTAAGAACCATGTGAAGAGGCGATGCCCAGGGACTCTTAGAAGGACGAATGATGCTGTCTTGCAGTAGTCTGTTGAATTCCGCCTTGGCTGCGTTCAGGAGCTCAGGGCGTGAGAAGACTGGAGGTCCTTAGGTCTCGATGTGGTGGAAAATTCCCGACGTAGGTGGTGGGGGTGGAGAGACTCGGGGTGAGAAAAGTTCCTTGAACTCTTCGAGCAGGGGGAAGAACTCGTTGGACGGCGAAAGACAGGAGATAGTGTCGGTGTCTTTGGCACGTGAACCCTGGATCTTGCGTGCTGTAGGCTCATGGATGAGGCGACGATGGCTTTGGTCGACTCCGAGCTTGTGGAAGGTGAGGAAGTCGAAGCCAAGGATGGGTTGAGACTCGTCTGCGACTACGAATGACCAGCACAGAGTCTTGGGGAGACCGAGGTCTAAGGCGAGGGTGCGTGCGCCGTAGGAGGCGATGGGGGTATCGTTGGCGGCGAACAGGTCATAAGAGGGCTGCCTTGACTTGTCTTGTCGTGAGGGAGGGATGATACTGACCGATGAACCTGTGTCGACGAGGAATTTCGTGCTGGAGGTGCGGTCGGTGTCGTGTAGTAGTGAGATGCCTGAAGGGACGGGGCTGAGGCGTCTACCAACCTCCGTTGTCGCCGTTTCCCGAGTAGGTGCAGTGGGGCTCACAGCGTTGAGCATTGGGGCCGGAACGCCAGTGATACCAGCAGAGGGTATATTCGTTGTGCTGGGAGCTGGCGGTTTCCGGGGCAGGAGGGCGCGTCAGTGATTATATAGGGCGTGGTGCGTGGGGTTTGTCAACGGCCGCCAGGCCACGCGGCGCACTCGTTAAATACTCTGTCTGCCACTGTTGCGTGGGGAGTTCAGGTGTCGTCGAGTAATCTACTGCGGACGGGATTATGCGTACTTGCGTGGGAACTTTTGTGCCGCGTGAGGCTGGCAGGATAGAGTCCGGGAAGTCTGTCTGTGAATTTGCACCCCGCGTGACAGGTACTGTATGTTATGTATATAAGCTACTGTGCCGAGTAGCAACCCCATGTATATATAGCTACTGTGCCGGTAGCAACCCTGTATATAAGCTACTGGTAGCGAGTAGCAGCCCTGTGTATATAAGCTACTGTGCCAGTAGCAACCCTGTATATAAGCTGCATGCCGGTAGCAACCCTGTATATAAGCTACTGTGCCAGTAGCAACCCTGTATATAAGCTACTGTGCCGGTAGCAGCCCTGGCTATATAAGCTACTGTGCCGAGTAGCAACCCTGTATATAGCTACTGTGCCGGTAGCATTTATATATATCATCACGTGGCAACACTGCGTTATGTGGCAACATTGCCCCGGGCTGCCATATGGCAAGGCGGCCTCCAGTCTGACTGTGTGGTACGTGCATGGCACCGCGGAGTCACCACTTGTATTTCTCATCATAATAAGCGGACTTCAGTGTTACCGCGGTGTTTCCTACCAAATCACTGCATTCTTCAGGGAACACTTGTAACCACCATGTGTACAGTGATTGGGATCTGTGGACTTACAAGTGTGTAAACAATGCGAACAGTTCGTCTGCGGTGATGCGATGGAAGCTCATGGTGTGTTGTGTTGTGTTGCTGTGTTTCGCCGCGATGTGCAGTGTTGGGACGTCACAGTGCGTTTTAGTGGCGGTGGCAGTGTTAGTGTCAGTGTATTAGTGTGTGTCTGAGCTGAGAGTTGAGCATTGGCCTGTTTTTGTGGGTACCCACACGAACGCATGGCGTTACACCCTTCTCGTGTGACATCCCGGGAGACGCGGCTGTCTCACTCCCCTTTGCATCTCTACCCACCGGCATTAAGGCTGCGAAGTGCTCTCTCGAACACACACACACACACACACACACACACACAGACACACACACACACGCACTCGCTCACGGACAGAACAGTGGACTATATGCGTTATTTCTGCGCTGTTTGTATCATATATATGTGGTTCAGTAGTTGAGGCGCCACTTTATATAGTAAACAGTGCAGTCCACACTACACAAAAAGATGGGAGGTAGAAGGGACAACGTCAAGATGGGGAGTACGACTCCCCACCACCTTCCCCTCCACGGTATGAGCTCTCATCCTCCACCTCCAGTGGCCAGGACATTGCCACAATTCTGGGGTGGATGGACAGCGAGGACGAAGGCGCCAGAGAGATGGAACTCCAGAGGGAGGAACCACGAAGAGAGGGGAGGAAAAGTGGCGTTTGAGGCACTATTGTGGCGACCCTGGCGCTAGCATACACCCTCCCTCACTCGCAGGTAGCAGGCATATAGGCACCAGTGCCTCCCCCCTCCACCACACCAGCGTCCTCAGGTACTCTTGCCTCCCAGTAACAGCCCAGCTCCCAAGGCATCTGTTTCAACCCCCACCCGCCCTCTCACCATATGTCACGTTTCAGCTTTTTCGTGAGTGGAGCGGCGTTGGACAGGTACTCCACGATGAGTGGACCTTGAGAGCATGCCTCCCAAACAAACAGCTCATCCAACTGCGGATGTGTTTTGTAAGCTGGAGACAGAGAGTTTTGGAGCACCTGCGTTGCAAGTGCCTCCCAATTCTACACTCTTCAGTGACGGATGTGCTTTCGACCTTTTACAGGAGCACGTTAGGGTCGGCATAGCGAGGCATTGCATCACCCGCGCCTTCACCAGCTGCAAGCGGGCGGAGAACGAATCCTTCCAGGCGACTTTTGTACGCTTGAAGGAGTTTGTCAGGAGGTGGGCGTCACCTGCGCACAGCCGGGAATGTGAGGAAGCTGGATCAAGCAGGGATGCGGCAGGTGTCAGGCAGAAGGAAGAGTTGGTGCAGCGACTCATCCCTGGGCGCCACTCCCACACTCCAGGCGGTAGTGACTGAATGTCGGTCGCCTACGAGGCCACCAGTCCGCCACCTCTGCCTTACAGGCCCCTCCTGCTGTGAGCAATCTCTCAGTACAAGAAGGTAGAAGGCGGCCAACAACGTGAAGGCGCACACGTTCTTCCGCGCTCGCCTAGTGCTTCCTGTGGCAGCTGTGGAAAGCAACGCATGGCCCCCCAAGACATGCCCGGCAGCCGACACTGTGTCGTGGATGTGACCGTAAGGGCCATGGCCTAACACAGACAGGTGCCTGCACGGGGCCGCAGTGTCAGGCCTGTGGTCGCTATAGATACTACAACAAGTGCTGCCGCCAACCCAAGCCCAAAAGCCTGAGGCGAGGACAGCAAGCGCGCACTTACCTCGGGGTGGTTCGCACGCAGCCCCCTCCAGATGACCCACACCCAGCCCCCAAGCAGCAGTGGAGTCACATGGGAAGGGTGGACTCGACTCACACACCCCCAGGGCTACTGCCCCCCCCACCATCCCGCGTCGCCGTCACACACGGTGATGTGTCCGAGTCACATCGAGGTGATACGGACACCGTGATACTCACGGTGATTGGGTTGAAGCACCTCCAGAAACTGGGCCTCACCAAACGCGGCCTGGGACCACCGCCGCAGCGCTGCAGTACACAAAGCGGACGGTTCCCAGATGCCGGATGCTGTGGAGCTCCTTTCAAGCAGAGATCACCTACGGCGACAGGTCATGTCGCGGATGAATCGGCGTGCAGCCTACTCTCGCTACCCTTGTTGTCGTGAGAGCACTGCAAGGAGTTAGGCGTAGTGCCCAGAGACTTTCGAGGCAGATCCCAGCTGCTGGTGCACCACCAACGGGGTGCGTGGATCAACAAGCGACGCGCCTGGCGCTGCCACACGGAGCTGCCCAGAGCCTGCGTTCACTCCCACCCACAGGATAGCTCCCCTGCCCAGATCCTGTATGGTCACCACTCTCAGCTCTTAGCGTTCCTACATGCCAAGGCACAAGAGGACTGGCAGACCAAAAGCCGAGAGCTGTGACGCCAGCGCCCTTCACGTGCCCAGGACGCCAAGGCTCGGTACTTGACGACCGTGCCCGCCCTCTTCAGCCACTGGAGGTGGTGCCCCTTGTCCGCGTCAGGACCCGACGACGACACGTTGGGACAAGGTGGGCATAGTAGTGGGTGTCGGCGTCGCGGGAACTACAAGGTCAGGATGCCCGGCGCGGCACGTGCAGTTGGAGGAACCGCCGCTTCCTCAGCAGATCCCACCCCCTGCTGCTGACCCCCGGCTGAGGACGGTCACTACACCCTACGAGGATCCGCCCCACAGTGCACCTCGACGCTCGAACGACACAGGACTGAGGATAAGACAAAGGCTATGGCGTGAGGAGAAGATGTAGGTTATGTATATAAGCTACTGTGCCAGTATTAGCGACCCTGTATATAAGCTGCATGCCGGTAGCATTTATATATATATCATCACGTGGCAACTGCGTTATGTGGCAACATTGCCCCGAGGCTGCCATATGGCAGGCAGCCTCAGTCTGACTGTGTGAGCCGTGCATGGCTGCCTTGAGTCACCACTTGTATTTCTCTCATCCATAATAAACGGACTTCAGTGTTACCGCGATTGTTTCCCTACCAATCACTGCATTCTTCCAGAAAGAGGGAACACTTGCTTGGTAACCATCGGAATACGGATGACGATTTCGTGCCATTAATCCACACACACTGCTTGCGGTCATGTAGAAAGTCTTTTATCCATGCAAGGACATTTCCACGAATTCCATTACCCACTTCCAGTTTGATTTTAGCCTTTCGTGTGGTACACTGTCGAAGCCTTGGCAAAAATCTAGGTAAATATTATCGATATTACCACCCGTTCAGAATATGGGTCCAAATATCCAATACCTTGAACAATTGTGTTAAGCGGGCCCGGCATAAAACGTGTTGGCAATCCTTACAAGATTGTTTCGAATTAGATGTTCCATTGCGCATCTCTGATAATACTCTCAAGTACCTTACGCGTATGCTGGTCGAGGCTCCACTGGTCTAAGTGGTCTATATAGTTGTTGCGTGGAGTGCCGATCGCCCTTCTTGAAAATAAGACTCCACGCAAGCCACTTTCCATTACTGGGACATTTTGTTCATCAGGCATTTACAAAACAGGATCTTCAGGGCATAACTCTCTTAGCACTCTAGGATGCACGCATGTCAGGGCCGGGACTCTTATGGACCTTTAGCCTGGACAGTTTATTTCTAATACCACTAACTTCTGTGAACACAATGTGGGTCAGTGCTGTATCGAACCGTCTGTCCTCAAACGCAGGAAGGTTGGTTGCATCCTCTCTTGTGAACACCGAGGAAAAAGCTGTTCAATGCCTCGACTTTATCCTGGTCAGATTCTGCGTAACTACCATCCACAAGCCTCAGGTCTGATACTCCTACTCGCGTTTTGAATTTCGACTTTGCATAGCGGTAAAACGCCTTTGGGTTTGACTTGACCTGCATGCAACCAGCCTCCTGGAGCTCCTTTTCAGCCCTTCTACACCCTGTGTCTTTTAGCGGTTTCTGGCTCTTGCATACATCCTCCTGTCTTGCTCATCGTTGACCCAACCCAGTCTTGTTCTGTTTCTTCTTAATTTGTCGACCGCCGCATGGTTCATGTTTAGGATCCCTCGTATTCCTAGAAGCACTGGGTTTGGTCTGGGTATATATTTATCGATCAAATGGGTCACTTACTAGTTATGATATTCAGCGTAGTGTCCGCGTTCTGTACCTTAATGAGTCAGGCCAGTTGATACCACTCATCTCTTCCCTCATCTCATTGT